AAACAAACTCTTGGCATCTTGTATACTAACCCATCCGTCAGTGGAATGTCAAATAAGCTGATTTTGAGTTTTGAGTCAAGACTAAGAAAATATCATAATGAACATAACTATAAACGCGGATTTGGTTTTAATGAGACTAAATATGCAAAATACGGACATTTTTGCAGCTGTTTTATTTTCTGACATACATTTTGACGAACATTTTAATTTTTTTGCTTAATAATTTTCTGCTCAAGTGTGTTCACTGGTCTTGCTGTGCTCTTGTGATAGGATAAACGTTCAAAAAAGCTCTAAATAAAATCTATACATGTATATAGCGACTTCTGGTCGTTTTCTTTTTTTCCTCATAAATTGACGACCATATTGAAAATGCTCAGTGTCTCGTAAGTAGCAACCAAGCTAATTTTGCTTCTCTTGGTTTGAGGAGTGCGTTTCAGCAAAAAAGTTTGTCAGAAAGAACATTGCAGGTTTCAACTATTGGGCCTATGGAAGTGGCAACTCGACTAAATAGCACACAGACAGCGCTGAACTCTGCAACGGTATATTGTGATTGTTGAGAGCACAGTTATTACACAACGGGTAGAAGTCATTGGACAAGATAAGTGATCATTTGACAAATTTATCGCTATAAGTAGAGAGACTGCTGTTCGGAACACCACCAAAAATCTAAACACTTTCAAGTACCTTGACCCATTTGTGATCTATCCTGTAAATTGCACCAAACTCCATCAATAATTTTAGGCACGCTGGCGACGAACACAAAAGGAGGTAAAAACATTCATTATGGCTTAAGCGACCAGACTAATGAACGCGTTGGCGAGAGTTAATAGCGGGATAGCATACTCTATCCCCAGTGTAACCGAGGCGTTTAACAGAATACAAATTGACTACTCTCTGGAATTATTCTTTAATCGATTTTAGCCTAACTATTCCATTGAACAACCGTTCATGTTCAGGGTTCAGATAACTCAATATGTTATACTATTAACACAGATAATACAGCACTACCGGTTACTCTTTGAAAGGTAACGGTAGCATATTGTTGGGATACTAATCTTTGGACCAAGGAGGTCATACACTATAGCTGACTTTTTGTAAAATTATTGTAAAGGATATTAGGCCCCTCCATGACTTCTAGGTTCAACGTGCAAACACTTATTCAATTACACGATGATGCACAACGTTACTCATTTAGTTTTGATTTTGCAATTGCAAATTCTTTGAGAATATTCCCGGCGCTGTATTGTATTATTGTTGTGCTAGATGCGTTTTAAAGGCACATGTCCATCAGTCTATTAAAGTGAACTCTGTTATACCAATGGATATATTCTTAACCAAATGGAAGAAAGTGTGATCTCATCTTGATGGGATACAAACGGTTCCAGATGCGACTCTACGTACTGTAGTAAGCGGTTCCAGGTACCATGTATGATACAGTTCCAGAAATCAATTAATAATTAACTTAAATTCATAACCCTGTGCCCCATCTGGGCTTATATGAATAATATATCTAGAAATAATGGTCGGATTTGCACGAACGGGCTAAATACGCTGATATTGATTGCTGAAAGATTTAAATAGCATTCAACTAAAAGCATCGTATGGAAGTTAAGTTAGATTCATTTTTTAGTATTACAGAGATTAATAAGAAGCTATTCACTCCAGTAAATCCCTGGAAATGACGGAAAACTGTGTAATGCGATTTTTTCCCCTTTTTTCTATTGTGCTCAATCTTCGACATATCTTCAATCACACTAAAATGACGTTTCGGAGGGAATTGCATTTTAAAGATTGCAGTAGTGAGAAACTGCTCCCAGGGTCCACTTCTGTGTGCAAGTCAAGACAAAAGCCACAAAGCCACTTGAATAATAGGAATTCACGGAAGAGTGATGGCATTCGATATCTGTCTTTATGTTTTGAATGTGAAATTCACGCAGTCAGTCTATTTTGCTTGGCTAATTCCCTCAATTGTTCTGTAAATGTCAATGACTGCTAAGTTAATTCGATACAAATTGATTTTGCAGACAAATATGTTTTTAGGAAGTTATCAATCAGACGTAGTCCACAGTGGAAGATAAAAATGACTAAACTATTTGGTTTTCTAGTGAACGCTCTCAAAAGATTAAGCGTTATTTAGTCTATATGTTACAAAGCACCAGAAGGAATTCATGACAGAATTGGTTTCAAAACGCTGTTTGGAGGTCTCCTTGTGGCAGCAAAAGGATGTATAGAGGAATTAAGGTTTTAAGTAAGTTCTGTCGTTTATCCCACAAGTAGATCTGCTTGCGTTTAAATACCCTACAGTTTCGCTTAGCTGAAACCAATATTTCAAAAATTCATTTTCCGTGCCCCCTAACGAGATTCGGTCATTTAAGATCATGGGTTGAACAACGAGATTCAGGTTTGAGTGTATCAAATTAAATCCCCCGTGTTGCGTATTGAGCAACTGAATACTCTTTTCTCTGATCACGCTTTCAAGCCTATACTTGGAGAAATTGACGAAATTCAACTGAAACACTAACATTGTGGCAATGCAGTTCCAATGATGTGTGCCAGTAAACAGTCACGCCTGTAAGCCAGATACGCCTGGTGGAAGGTAGGTCTTCGTGACATTTAAGCCCAGCTGCGCTGTGTACCTCAAACGGAAGTCATATCGTGTGACATCACAGTGTCGTGCGAAACGGTAACTGAGTTGAAAGCTAGTTTTACAGACACATCGCAAAATGCCAGGATAATACCGGGATAATACAGCTTTATCAAAGGCTCATGTCAGGTAGGCGAATAGCTAGGTGTATTGACTTTTTTAAACAAAGTTTCGATTTTCGATTTTTTAAGAACTGTAAATATAAGGCCTGACATTTCGGTAACAAACCAGACATATGGGTATTATACTGACTTAAATTAGATTGACTTTATTCACATTGGAGCACATAAGGCTTAGAAGAGATGAACGAGTTGTTACAATCAGGTCGCAGCTTATCTTAATGTAATTACGATACATCTATAAATAATGAATAAACCTTGCCAATCTGCAAACAGCTTACCTCAAGAAGAAGGTGCTACAATTTCTATTTTGTTATAGATAGTATACATACTGTGATAGATAGTATACGTGTATTTCTACAGCAATTTTTCAGTTGCAACACGTAGAATTCTTATCTCTACGACCGAAGATATAAGGTCGGTATGTTACCTGGTGTTTTGCATAAAGTGTTCTGTATTTATTCAGTTTTTTAATCCGAATTATTTTAAAGCATGTCTATACTTCAACGGGCAATAGTTTTGTACTTCGAATCCATGCGAGTGAGTTTTGAAATAACATGTTTATTTAAAGACACGTAGACATGTTGTTTCATACAAATATATCATTGAGTGTGCTTTTTGGTTTAACAAACCAAACACCCATATTAACATAAAGGTAAAGTATCCATGAAAGAGCCGATATAGATATAGTGCTACGAGACGCCTGTGTTAGCAGGATTAATTGAATTATAAACAATTCATATGTCATCATGCCAGATGTCATCTGAACTATGAATAATTAATTGACAATGCACCGTAACTTTCAATAGTTTCAAATAATTTCCGAAATGCCATCGGCGCTTTCTCCAGTCTGGGTCATATAACGACGATCACTCACTCGAGCAAGACAATTCCCTCCACTGCTTTCGTACATTAAAAACTAGATACTGTATAGTCGTACATTTACATGTATGGGCGTTCTTGGTACGTGTTGATGATGGTCTAATACTTGAGCATGTGTAAATTTTCTATAATCCTGTCCAGTGCTTGGTCAGTATAAACCACATGGAAATGAGAAGTTAATTAAATTTAAGATCCTAATAACATTAAATGAAAGTTGAGACGGTCGTTCAAGAAATTAACCTGTGACAGAGGTTGAGTGAAATCAAAACAGTTGGTGTGACATTAACAAATGTGTCATTTATTAGGCACATCACCATGTCTCTTTGCCTTATAGGTATTAGTGAGACCGTGCTTTTGCTATACATAGTTTATTACTTATCTGTGACTGGAACAAATCTCTCTCTCTCTCTCTCTCTCTCTCTCTCTCTCTCTCTCTCTCTCTCTCTCTGGCGCTCCCTTTGGAGGACAGATGCATGTAGATAAAGAGATAGATAGTTATATAGATAGATAGATAGATACAATTGCTATCTGACTTAATACTAGTATATCTCAACATACCAGCAAAATATCAGCACATACTAGCAGACACATGTTTAGCAACTACGACTTTAAACCTGCCATATAAAAAGCGCACCGTCTATACCAAAACAAACATGGCAATGCAGAAATTAATTAGAAAGCAGTGTGGTTGCAATATACCAAAAGCTGCTTGTGTTATACATGCCACTCTCACGATGAAAGCTCGTCCTTGTACATGTAGATATACTCAGGTATAGTGTGAACATCTGGGGAATGCGTTCAGATACAGGAAATCGCATCATGTAGCTGTTCTTATCACAGTAGGCCAAGTATTGCAAAAGAGAAAAAGGGAAATGTTCAAATGTTAGTCCAGGCATATTTTTCTGAACCTAGAAATTTGATGACCCCTAGGGCCTTTGTCCAGATGTATCTTGTTTGCCACTTTGGCACATTCGGGCAACTTGAATTTCAAAGAAATATACACTACTGCGCATAAAGGCACTTGGTGTCGACTGGTATATCAAATAGAACACATTCGAAGGAGCTAGATATACCCTGTATACATATGTCCAGAGGTGTGCGTTCTATACCTTGTGCACAACACACTGTTTTTCATTGACTTGGATGTGACATCTATTACCCAGTATATATGGCCCATTAGTTTCTAATAAAAAGTAAATAAAGAGTAACTGGTGACATTTCTCTGTCCAATACATGCTCTCTACTCGATCACTGTGTACCATTCGGACTGCAGTAGTCTCTACTGAGGCGTCGCTCTTCCTTGTAGTCCTTGCCATCACCATTTTAGCTTCTAACTCTCTATCCATTTTTTTCAGGGTCTGTAGCTTGACAAATTTATCAGACGCTGGGTATATGTAGTTAGCTAAAGACACAGAAACTCTCAGGGTGGTACCAAATGACTCAGAGAAGCAATGTCAGGAAAAACCAGTCGTCCGCCATTCACCAGACACATTAGCTTCACAGGGACATTAAAAGAGAAGCTTGCTGAGATATTTAAATAGAAAATTAGTCGACGTATTCAGTTCCGAAACGATTAGTAAGTACGTCGTATATGGCGTCTTGAAGCTGACACAGGGGATTGCATTTCTAGGATATCGTGCATGGTGGGTCTATATACACTTATATATTTAGTGCTTTGGCGTTAGGATTTCTTGCAAAGATTGAACTTACTTTTAAGAACATACAAAATTTAACGTTCAAACTAGAAGAGTCTTGCTTTGTTTCAAAAATGTAAAGGAAAACTGTAAAAACACCGTACTCTAACCATACTTTCAAAATAATAGATTGCTAGAATGTTAAGTCCATCGCACGCCAAAGGCATATCTTTGCTCCGTTCGTACATCTAATACGTTTTCGTATAGGCCCTACTACGACATATAGCAGCAACATTTTATGAAGCACAGGTTTATGGCAATGTCGTGCACTTCTCATTAGTCAGTCTCTGATTTAATTAGTTCTTGATAGACGTTTAACTATAATAGCTCGTTTACTATCTGCGAAGCTGATGAATTATTCACAAGAGCGCCCGCCGTCCGTAGCAATTGTCCACTTTGATTGATATTAATCCAATCTTCGTATCCACAACAGAATGGAAACTTCGCATTGTATGAAAGTAGACTTTTCTAATCATTTGTTTCTTTTAAATCAATTCGGCTCAATTTTTTTCCTACAGAATTTGATCCTCGTCTCAGGAAGTGTTTTGATAACTATCTTTCTTTCAAAAAAAAAAAGAAAAGAAGAGAAAAAAAGTTTTGAGGTACGATCAGCATAATTACCGGCGTTATATACGAAAATCTGAGGATAGAAGCTCTTCCTTATTTTATAAATTGAATTGACAACTCGTTTAACCTTTATTTCACTACTGCATTTCTCTTCATTAACATTTGTTCAATTTTTCAGGGAGTTGGAAATGACCTATGTAACACACCACTGCCAGCGACAGTGCAGCGGTTTGTCCGTTAACGCCACCAATTCGACTCTTTTGCGTATTATGCATCCCGAATCATTTTAGTAAAACACAATACATAAAGGAATGGTCATCAGAAAAAAAGATTTAATTATCGTTCCTTAGACCAATCAAACGAAAGGAGAATTAAAACCCTCGGCGCAACGCGTTTGCGTGAACTTTGCGTTTCTCAGAATTTGAAGAACAAGTCATTTGTTTGGTGCCGTGTTTAACACCAGAGAATATTGAACGGTTTGTCTCTGGTGGATACAATTCAACGTCGGATCCTGGCACATAGGAAATCAGAATCCCAAAGATTCAGATGCTGGAATGCTCTTTAAGACAATGGACTCTACGTTATTCGATTTTGCCCTAGATTTGGAACAGATTGAATGCAATTGCAGGATTCAGCAAAGGAAAGATTTTCATGTAAAGAAGTAAATATGTAACTATAATTACTGAGAAGTAAGCAGGGACATAAGGCTACTTTTCAACAATGATTTAACGTCGCACTCAGTTTCAGAAGTTAGAGAGGACAAATTCTGGGTAAATATTTAGGACACACCGGCCATTTGGCTGCATTGGGAAACATGGAGGAAGCAAACGTGACCAACGCATCTTGGCCTTATATTCACCAATTTCAAACAGCAGTGACCGCCGGCAATCATTACGTGTTTCCAGGCACGGAAGACGTTTTGGTTGCCGTGGGCATGCTTTTAACAAACACTTCGACGGAAACATTGAAACCTTTTGATTTGTGCAACATGCACGGGAAACACATGGATCTTGATGTCAATTTGACTCGTTCACCAATTTATGAAGCTACATTAAGTGCCCATAGAGCTTATACATTGTCGCATCAGTTATACATATGGCTACTGCCAGTTGTTATATTATTTGGAACTGTTGGCAATGTGTTATCATTTCTGGTGGTAAGACGGCACAAAAAGATGCAGAACTTTCCTATACGCATCTACATCAGTGTGTTGTCGGTGGCGGACACTTTGGTGCTATATTTGAGCGGATTTCGGTACTGGGTCGGTAAGGTGACAGGAGCAGACATCAAAATGCTCAACGATCTCTTCTGCGCTGTTTTTGGTGGCTTTTTGTACCATTTTGTGCGTCACCTTGCTGTCTGGACGGTCGTCGTTGTCACCTGCGAGAGATTCCTCCTCCTAACTTTTCCGACACAAACGTTCACGGTACTTCGCAGGCCAATGGTCATTATGGCGGTGTTATCGGCCGTTATCGCGGTGATAGACAGCTCGACATTGTTCACATTTAGGATAACCGATGACTGTGTGTTTAACGACGGTTCCACGACGATGACCATACAGCACAGGTGCGTCGCCAATATGACGGTGGCAAGATCCATATGGCCCTGGATCGATTTCTCCATGTATTGCTTTATTCCCGTGACCATTCTTTGCTTTATGAACATAGCGATAATGTTTGGTCTATTTCGGGCGGACACTAAAAGAGATATGTGTAAATATAACGCCATTGTGGCTCATTCCCGCTACCACAGCCATAGAAAGTTTGCGAGGACCAGCTCAACAGCAAGTTGCGAAAGCACCGCCAGTAAACTTAGCTACGGAAAACCAGCGAATAAAAAGGGTTATTTTACAGTCATGCCACTCGTCGTGAGCACGACGCTAATTCTCTTGACCACGCCCATTACTGTATTAGAGATAATTTATTCAGACATCAAAACAGCTGACCCGCACGTGGTGTCCGTAATACGACTTATCCGCACAATTACGTTTCTGTTGATGTACGTCAATCATTCGATCAATTTACTTTTATATGTCATAACGGGAAGAACATTTCGTAAGGAGTTGTGTAATATGTTCCCATGCACTACATCGTGCAGAGAGCAGCAGCGCAGTAATTCTAGCAGAGATTTGGCAACTTTTAATGTTAGCAAAAATCGAAAAACAAAAATTAATGTTTGACGTGATTTCTCCAGTTCCAACATGAAGTGGTAAACAGATCTTTATTTGTTTTAATCTTCAAGTAATGGACTTTACCTCTTATGAGCTATGGGTCTCCACAAACTACATTGAACTATTCATTTGATCTACACGATGTGTGTGAGCTAGAATACGGAGTCCAGCAGGGAGGCAAGTTTCACTCATTGTAGTTTTATGTACATTGTAGAAGTTGCAATTTTCATTTTATTGCACAATACTTATTTAATAACTTAAAGTATCTTTATGAATTAATTTTTCAGTTAAACCAGTTGGTTAAAGAATATATATTATATCCAGGAATTCTTATTTTATTTATGTCCGTTTCGTGATAAAAATTTTCAATAAATTGTCATTATTGTCTTATTTACCCCTTATCTGCTCTCGCATACCCAATGAACGCCAGTTGGTCAGCTGCTCATCATCCATGAGTAAATGTACAAATATGCTATCAGTCAGCACCGGATTAACTTTTTAAAAGACGTACACGTATATATGATTTGCAGCCGGGGTGTACTAAACTTCTTAATTTTGATGGAAAGTACAGACGTTAATCTTCATCTTAGAATAAAAAGACATCCGTTGGTTACATCCCTTGGAGACAAAACAATATCACATTCAAGTTGGTTTTATAAACAATAAATGCTTATATACTGTAGAAAGTGGGATTGGTTTGGATAAGTAATATTTTACTTTTAATTAGTGTTTATTGTATGAGCTAGAATGTGACCACATCTTCAATATCAATATCGGATAATCAAGCGAAAATGCCAGGGATTATAACAAAGGATTATGACTTATTCTGTCCACCCCTTGACAAAAATCATAAAAATGTACCATTACTAATTATTTACTTTTCTTTCATACAGTTTCATCGCGCAGATAAAGTGACAGTGCATTCTCTACTGGAGAGTGAAGAAGTACATGAACGTTGCCGAGATCAGTATTTAGCGTGAAGCCATCTAAGGGCTCATTCCCAAAAAATATCGTTCGCCCTAGATCCGTCCAACTTCACGGGGACTCTCGCTGAATGCAGTGACGTTGAGTTGAATACAGAGAAGCTGGTGATTAGGACTATACTATACTATACTATACTATACTATACTATACTATACTATACTATACTATACTATACTATACTATACTATACTATACTAGACTCTACTCTACTCTACTCTACTCTACTCTACTCTACTATACTATACTATACTATACTATACGTTAGAAACAAGAGGAGGTACATGTATGTTAATCTGTTTATCTGACTACATTTAACGAGAGTCAACGCGGAGTTGGATCAATCTACGTAAAACGATAGTTTCATCGGGAATGAGCCCCTAGTGCACATGAAATGAAAATCAAGGCCACGAGCAATGCGATCATTTCATACATGTTGCCTTCTGTATTGTATTAAACCCTATCTACAGAAGCTTTTAGAATTTGCCATAGAATCGAGGGTGTTAGTATTCGGTTCAACTGTCGTTATATTATGTTTTTACAAGTGCGAAATGTTGGAAAAATGATTTCCGTTTGGCCTGGGCTTTATTAATCACATATTAACAGAAACAGAAACTAAGAGGAAATGTGAAAATTGGATGAGTAGGTTTTTGGCAGCTTCACTCGTAAATATGCTATCAATAAACATGGGCGGCCTTAAGTACTGGTTATCGCAAGATAAACCTGTTGGTAGAAAGTGAAAATTAGAAAAAAAAAAAAAAACACTCAAAAAGGGTCACTACCAGGCATTACCAAGACCATTATCAATATGGGCGGACCGGAAGTGAAACGGGACCCATCCTCGTCCTCTTCTGAAACAGGATGGAAAATCCAGACCCTGCTGAATGCAATTTGCCAAATGGGGTGGAGTCTGCCGACTCACAAAAATACGCCCCCCTTCTTTCACCGTCCGTGATAACCTGACTGCACTAGTGTAAACCCCCTGAAGATCTACTGTATCAAAATGATATGACTAATTTATAGACAATAAAGCAATTATTTATATGTAAATATAAAGAAAGTAATGTGGATCCGCTCGCGATTCCAGTCCAGATTGCTTATAAAATTACCACTAGGAAGTATTCAACAGTTCGAAGGTAAATTAGCACTGACGAACATTAAGTACCTGGTTGATGTTTTTTGGCTGTTAATGTAACATTTGAATAATTGTGTACCGATGGAAAAAGCATTGTTTTACGTCAATGATTTGAAACTAAGTAACACTCTGTCTCATCACCGCCTAAAGCAACATTTTAATACATGTACTTTTGTGTTTTCAGGAAATATTTTATGTAATTGTTGGTAATCTCCCAATGCATTAAATAGTCATTGGCAATGCCACCTCATTTATTTTATATTAGATCATGTTTGCGCATGTTGGCGTGGCCTCAGGTCTAATTGATTTCTATTGAGAGAATCTAGGCACCACAACCATTACGTCATACCAAGAAACGGCTTTGATTATCATGAGGCACATGGTACTGGAAATAGTCAGACTCAAAAAAATAATCCCCTTGGATTAATATTGCGGAGGATGTTATTACTAACAAAGAGTATTGTCAAGCGCAAACCAGAGGGCAAGAAATCGCAACAATAAAAATAACATAGCATTTCACCTGTGACAGGTTGTGTTGTTATGCTCATCAAAAGACAACAATGAAGCTGAACATCCCTATGAATGTTTTTTTTCTTCATTCCAATCTTTTTTCTAACCATATTTATGTTTGTAATATGTAACTTTCACTATCGGTTGTGAAAAAAATTACAATCACGTTTAATGCATCGGTTAATAAACACCCCCAGTACAACAAACAGTCCTTGCAAACTATTGTTAATTGATTAGGTATTTTTTTAATGATACCAATTTTTATCTGCACGTACCTAATCAATTAAAAGTGAACATAACATATGGTCTGCTGAGTCGCCTGGGATGTGACATCTGTCTATAAAACCTAATTGAATTCCAACAGCCGGATTCAGGATACTAAAATGGAGAGCAAAACATTGACCCATGCGTTGCCCTCTCTACCAGAACTGATGTCGTTAATTCCTTGGATAAACTTTCACTGGATAGAAGAAACGTTTCCTCTGTCCTAGCTGGGACATACTATTTGCATACATCACAATCCCCTAATAGACACAGAACTGATTCCCCGCGAGGAATAGGCGGCTAGCTTTCAAGTGGGTTGGGCATATTTGATCCGCGGATCTGTTGGTTGGCGGATTAACTCTGCTGTGAATGCTTTTACATGTAAGCTCCTCACTTACTCTCCAATCTGTAGGATTCATCCAAAAAGTGAATAGCTAACCATATATATACATGTATATACCTCCTTGCAAACCCACAAATTGAAATGTGTGCACTATATTCGTTTGGAAATTATATTTTAAATGTGGATACATGTACCTCAGGCGCACACATTATGTTAATATCATTTATCAACACTTTTCAGTGTTTATCATTAATGTGCTTCCTTTCTTTTAATTAAATGTACCTTCAATAAATGCCGCCGTCATCGGCCAAAATTCGAACATCATACTTGAGTTTGTCCTATTCTTTTAACTGGCATGTCCTATTACTTAAATCAGCTTACATCAAGGAGACACAAAATATGTTTTCATAGTTGGATGAATAGCTGGTGGGATAATGAACCCATCCAAGCGCTTTTTTTATGAAATTCTGAACTCGAAAGACATACATAATCCAAATGTGACATTTCAAAGAAAACGGAGATTTATTTTGCCCTTTCGGGAGTCTTTACACTGTGAAAAGACACAACCTTTGAATACCAGATACCTACGACGCATCCTATTGTACGTTATATTTTACTGGTAAATTTGTGTGCCACATGTTCAGAGTAGATATCAGTATTGGTGACTGTGGACTGGAGTGTACAGGCATAGGGTACAATGTAACGCCGTGCACGTGTCGGTAAAAATTGTTTACACAACTCAAAAGATCCTTCAGATCCAGACTGAAAATCATAAGTTTGACATGTTTAAACGTAACGTAACCAGTTTCTATTAGAACTATTTATAGCACCAGATACCTCATACTACAAGCATGACTCGATTCAAAAAATGCTTCTCATCAAAGTCAATTCATCTGAAAATGACACTGTATTTACATTAATTTATAGCTTTTTTAGTTCTTTTATCCCATTTGCAAATTTTACTTTGGGAGAAAACCGGCTGCGTAGATCAGTTGTAAATTAATCATAATGCTTTTAAGGGAAATTCCATTTTTTCAAAGCTTTAAAGCAGCTCTGCTTAATTCACTAGTAATCATCAAATAATGCTGGGATAATGCTAAATCATAAAACGCTCATATATTTTTCATTGTTTCCCTCTAGAAAAGGACATTGCTCTTTTACTGAAAGCTTTTTGGTTGGATTGGATTATTTCATTGGTTGTGAATAATGAATTATTGATATCAACATTTGTCATAAATGCGTTTACTGCAACCGGGTAGTCCCTGGGTTTCATACGTACACCGCGGAACATGTACTAATATATTTTAAGAACATTGCGAGGCATTGGAATTTCTCGACGAAAGTGTGACACCGTCACCGACAACAACATCTTCAGAAATGATGGAAGTGTCAAGACAGTAACTTATCAAATACCCAGTGTATGTGTGCGTGTGTGCGTGCGTGTGCGTGTGTGTGTGCTATTAGGTGTGTAGTACAACAGCTGAAACCATGAGACTTTTAAAATAAAGTTTACGGAATAAACCCAGAAGAAACCACTGTACACAATTTAATCATTCGTCCGAATTTATTGACTAAAGATTATTTTCATCAGAAGTATATCGTAATTTGTAAACATCATTTCTTTTCAAGTATACGTTTTTCTTTAAGAGCTACGTAGGCCGAAGAAGTTTCAATATGAAGTCTAGATCTACTGGTATTTCCCGGCTCCGCCTGCAGTCCGCGCCTGGTTCGATATAATGTTTCTACACACACGTGTACGTATTTATGCCATCTACACAAAGAGTTCCCGGGGCACAGTCGTTGACGAGACAGTCATCATCATCTGGAAGAAAAAAGAAATAATCTTAAGCTGAGTCATGGAAACTGATTAATTTCGCACCAGCATATAGGAGCTTACTTCACTCTTTAATGTGGATACATATCATTCCTCACTTAAGACTAAACCAACAGCACCGTTAATACTATTTCCAAGAAGTGAAAGATTACTGTTAATATACTCCTATTAATTATTGAATGGTTAAAACTGAACAAGTTGTTTCAGTAATGAGGGTTCACAGCCTATGAAAAGTATAAGCTTATCCAAGATCCCAAGTGGGGGTGGGGAGTGAAGACCCCGACCCTCGTCCTGATGCGTTCTTTTTTGCGCTATTAACATAACATTTACCTAGTGGTGTGTGTGTGTGTGTGTGCGTGTGTGTGTGTGTGTGTTTGTGTGTGTGTGTGTTTAAGTTCCTAAGGGGCGCTAGGTTCGTGTTCCCCTGTAATTTTTTTCAAGTTGTCATTTTGGGTTTAGTTCTATGCACGAAAGGTTCATCTGCCACATGGAAAAAGAACCCCACTGTCCCGGCGGTTACCACACTTTACACACAAAACACGTTCTCCATATTAGCCTTACCTCGGAAATACAGATACAGGCTCTTGCCTGGTTCGGGGTAGTTGCAGCCAGGGTCGTAGATGTTATCCGGCCCCAGAATGTTATCCCTACCACTGGAGGTGCCGCCACTACACAAACTATGCCCCATCTGTAGAGTGGTATAACAGTCACACTGGTCGTCGTCCAGCATCAGCGACTTGATACCATTCTGGTCGCGGTACATGAAGCTGTCTTGGGCGTACGTTCCGTAGTTTGTACTGCCTGGCGGGGATCAAAGGAAGTAACACAAGGTGTAAGTAAAGGTTGGGTATAAAGTGTTATTCATAAAAGGTTTACATTAAAATGTACGTTTTTTTTTCTTAAATCCATTGAATCTTGTATCGATCCAATCTCAGTGGGCAGAGAAAACTGGTAACCCATTATCATTGAACCCTATTCAGGTAAAGACAGTCCAACGACCTATTTTCTTTCTGTGAGATGCACGCGTATTATAAGATAATAAAAAGATAAAAGAGTAGCTGCAATTTCCTTCACTAGTTAGAAAACGAACTTGATCGTATGCGCTCGGGAATTCAAAGATATAGAGAAAATTTGTAGGCCTAACTAACGTAGGTAGTTATTTCAGGAGATGATATATGTATGATAGATAAAGTGTGTGTGTGTGTGTGTGTGTGTGTGTGTGTGTGAGAGAGAGAGAGAGAGAGAGAGAGAGAGAAAGGAAGAGAGAGAACGAAGAAGTGGCTCACCAGAATTCCAATACGGTACCCAGTTGTTCTGATCTCTCAGCACATTATACGCGTACTCAGTACGCTCAGTCAGCGTCGTCCAGACGGCGTGGGCAATGTTGTTATTGGGATCGAAAGCCCAACTGGCGGGTAAAGAATAATAATATATAAACTATAATCACAAAATTAAAGTATGTTGTTTGTAAAAATCTCTTTATATATATAATTTAGGTAAACGGAAAAATCAGTGTGAAAAAATCAATCAACTTATTAATTAATACATGCATATCGATACATACATGTACTTGGTCCCCTGACCATCGATGGCCAACAACTCCTGTTCGGACTCGGTTAGTCCAGAGGGCAATCGCGACAAGCAGACAGCTTGGTCGGGGGTGCAAGTCCCGTAGTCATCTAAAACAAAAGGTTGAGTTTTCAGAGTAGGCATGGATAAAATGTATATCAATTTACGCTACATGTACATAAATAACACTTTTTTTTCGAAATGTTCTTGATGTGTGCATCTAGATGTGATCCGTATGCTAAATGGAGCAGTCATTTTGAAAATAGCAAAATTGTTTGTAAAACAGAAAATAATCAGCATCGACTAAGTATAGGCTCGAAATTCTTGCGAGCTGCTAAAATTAGTCCGTCATTGTATCATTATGCTATTCCAATAAATATTGACCGACCTTTCTTACTTATTGGCAGATCACATTAACATTAAATTAGTTACAGAATCAATAATCAATATCACAGGCCGACCCAGGATATAGAAAATTGAGGTAATTCTTTCAAACATATTTGAGTTACAGCCCGATATGTACAGTATAGCGCCATCCAGGGATTTTGTAAATATACTGACACAGAAATGTGAACAACAAAAGCATGTGAAACTTAATGTACCTTCAAGTATTCATAAAAATTGATTAGATTTATGGGCAGGGTATAGGTTTAAGTTCTAATAAATGTGAAGATTTTATTCATCCAGCAGAAAAAAACAACAGGTACATAGTATACCTTAGATTAATCGAGTAAAATGAGTAAAATTACATACAAAAAGGTTTTAGAGTGAGGCCGCAACGTCAGTTATAGGTTGAATATTACCGAGTAAGTTCTAGTAATTAATTCCTGTATCAAAAGAACTATTAATGCACTGTGCTGTGTTCTCGTTGGCCATGTTAGAGGAAAGAAAACTGCTGTGTATTGTTAATTGTATTACCCTGTAAGACATCAGTGTATCCAGAAGGCCAGGAGGCTCCAGCTTCCCACCACCAAAACAAACGGAACCGCTTGTTGTTCTCAGTGGCAACGGCATCTGAAATATAATGGGAACGGTACAGTATCGACAATGCAGTATTGGATATCAATTGTAAGTGAAATCCTATGTAGACCAGTGTGTGATCCTTATCCCCCCCCACACACACCCAAGCATTTTCACTGTTTTTACTGTTTACTTTTTTAATACAACGACGCAGTCACAGAGCATTTCATTCCCGATGTTGTATGGTTAAAATATTTATTAGTTTATTTTATCCTATGTCAAAAAAGCTCCCTTGATCTAGGTAAGTTGCATACACGTACAATTTACCACATTTGGGTCATCCCCTCTTGAACGGTTTGACGTATGACGTTTTTTGCTCATCAGAGATCGATTTGGTTACTTTTTTTTCAAACTTTTGCGGGACGATGTTTCCTAGTAGGACATTGTCTTAAAATCTTTTAACAGATAACTGGAGCATTAACTTTTTCATTGTCTCTTTGTCACTATTTTACACTAATTGAATTTAAGTCGCATGTCAGGTGTTCCATGTGGTGTTTTATTTAAAGTTAAAGTGAGTACAGACGGTGTTCAGGATATCTGATAATAGAAGACGAATGGCAAGACGAAAAACAAATAATGTATGTATTTAAACAAAGATTTAGTGTTGATTTTTCTGTACATTTTTGCTTAATCGTTCATCTTTGCATCGATTTTTTTAACAGTCTCGTTGGATTGCTTTGCATTTTATGCTCTCCTTTTGTGTGTTTTACTGCAACGATTACATCTATTACCCAAAACGAATGAAAGTACATTGTAAACACTCTATGTTGGATATTTAAGCAGTTGCCTTAGGTTTTTGTTTGTAATTACTTAGGACCTAACTAGACTGAAAATTAAGTAAATATAATCTATGCTATTGAAAGCATGTCCCACGGAAAACGTTTTAATCTCTGTATTTGACTTGGAACGTCAACTCTGTCTAGTTAAATATCGAGCTCAACGTCGTAATTTAAGTTTCTATCAGTCAGCTAACTTTATCGGATATTTAACCATATGTACAAAAATAACAATGGTAAATTCACAATACAACAACAACGTTTGACGTATACTTGCAACGTAGCCTACAATGACATCAGCACGATCAATGGTTGGACAAGAAAAACAACGACACTGTTGAGAATTAAACCACAACAACTTATTCAACGTAAATGAAAAACTAATAAAACAAATAAAAGTTAAAGTAAACGAATACTACAAACATCAGCAAAAAAGGAAGTCATACCGGTAAAAATAACAAAAACGTCACTATGTATCGCAATTTAACTGAACTTAATACAGGAAAATTAAATCCTAACACACACTCACACGAGTCGCAGTGCGTGGGGTCTGCGTTCGCTCCACATGCACAGCTGGGGACTAGGACGTCACCCTGGCACGCGTACGAGCACGAGCCACTGCGCCCGCACACGCCTCTTGCACACGGATTCTCTAAACGCTGCAAGGAGGATAGTACGGCAAATCAAACAAATATTCCAATCCGGCAAAAATAAAAATCCTTTAGGATGGGTCCTCTTCCCTGTTAATTCTTTATTTATTTATTTTTGTAATGAATTTGCACTATGTAATGACGCAGTCTTACTTTACATTTGACGATTTTTTTCGAGCAGGATTTATACATTAAAATTCTGTGAACGCTCAGGTTACGTTCACTGTTCAAAGGGTCTCTGAAATACTCCGTCAGAATAATCTATTCATCAGGATTACCCGATAAGCTTTATTTCCCTTCTGGAAACTACCCTTAAAGAATTGCTGTACAACTATCAACAAACACGAACAAAGTGAAGCTGGAAGGTTAGATTTCTTAATGAATAAAACAACAAGTTTCCCTAACATGTTTTTCTTTTTTCACAATCATCATCCTGTATTCAAATGCACATGTAATATACTTACAGTGAAATTCTCCCTGGAGTAATGGTGCCAACCCATCAAACAGCTCGGAGATGTACCGCCCGGGCTTGAAGGCGCGTGAAGTTCACACGTGCCGTTTTCCTGGCGATAGTTCACGCTGTAACACTCAGAATTACCTACACGAAAATGTGTTCGACTTTAAAAAGTGCTCAAGACACGTTCCGCATCATGATTAATAAAGCATATTTAATGAACTGCTGCTATTCCTAATTGTGATCCTTAACACCCCTATTAACGCCAAGTTAACGCATTTTGCTGTTGAAAAAGACAAACCATGCATGTGAATACGTGTTTACGCATGCGAAATCAACCAATGAATCCTATTAAAGCAGACCTAACTCCAAAAATTTTAGCTAATGAGGCGCCAACTCTAAAATAAATGTATAAACTTTAATTTACGTACTGAGGCATGACGAGGCGCACTGCCCAGCGCTTACATTGGCCTTGGTGGTAAGAACCGTCAACGGATCGTCAAGGAAACGATTAAAATCACCATTGAAGTAGACACCACTAGTGTCAAAGCTTCCGTGGACAGCAACTGGGATCAAAACCGACAGAAACCACAAAGCGTTCCTTCCCATTTTGATTTCGCTCTGTGACTGGAGAAAAAATCAGCGAGGAGTTGCGTGCCTTAATGTATGCATCGATTTCGGATGCTCTATTGCGCTACTTCTCCAACTTTCTATGACTTGATTTTCATTTAAATTTTAGCATAACAAACAACATCGACCGTATGGACTGAAATACAGAGGGTATTTCATTATCAGAAGTGGGGTTTTCAATGGCAATATAGATTATTGAATGATGTTTTAAAGAATCCTTACAAAGGCGAACCTGTAACAATTAATTAAGGATTGAATACTTGCAGAGAAGTTCTCAATTGAATAATGTTATTGTACCTGTATATCACTTAATAAGTTCGTACACTCTCATTGGCTAAAACTGTCACTTGATATGTCAGTAATATCATGTGGATAGGTCGCGCACGCCCCCCCCCCCCCCCCCCGAAGCACAGAATACCGATATAAAAGCGAAAATCTTTGAGCAAACATGAAAACAGTTTATCATAATTCGAATACATAGAAGTTAATATAATACCATTATGCAGTAAGATATAGTGTATTTTAAGAAATGGGCTAATGCTCTCAAAAAATGTATATACATGTAGTTACGGGTTGTGGATAATTTCATTAGGAGACATTGTCCTCTATAGAGTACATTTGGTCATACCTGTACACGTATATAAAGAACATCGAATTGATGAACCTTCACTCAAACTCTGGATCTTCTAGCATTAACGAGGTATTATTAATACTAAAACACTGTTCCTGTGGCATAGTTGTAGTGTAGTTTTACTCTGCAAAGAAAAGACACTTGCAGTGTTTATCTGTACATGAAGAATCAAAATATTTCAACTGCAGGCTGTTAATGAATAAAGTTATATTTTGTGGGTACATGTACAATGAACAAACACTCAATATTACATTTTTAACTTCCATTAGTAGAAAAAGTCGCGTCAAGAAAAACTCCACATAAAATATGCGGCCCTGGTAGAGAGTACATGAAGTACGGTGTATTATTAGTATAATTTTGGAAGGAGTTGAAAATGACTATTTCATTAAGTGTTACTCATTTGTCATTTTTTCTCTTGATATATATTTAGCTATCATCATTGTTCGTGTATTGCACTCCTTTCGCTTTCTGCGAATACCACTACTGACAGAGCTGAGTATAAACAGAGCTGCGCGCGTGGTGGTCACGTCATATACTAAATATAGTCATTCGCCAGCCCACGTGTCCCCATTGTGCTGGCAATGCAAAATATCGGTATCGATTGTTAGTCTATGTTGGCATTTCGACATAAATAGAATGGGTCAACATTCACTCCGTCATAAGCTTACAGCGTTGTTAACCGGATTTTGTGCCCTATATACATCTGAATAGGAGACTGTGTGATTTAGGAGGTGGGCTGACGGAGGTGAGGCCGAGATCTACCTACATACCAGTATATACAGTAGGTAGGTGTCTGTACAATGTAGCTGCAGAGTCTGTGTGCAGGTAAATATACAGGTATATGTATAGGTTCGTCTATAGCTTGGTTTACATCCCTGTTGATTTGACGAAAACTGAAGTATATATATATATACAGTGTACATAGTTGTATATATGCCCATCTACATGTTTGTAGTTTATCAGCTGTACTGCATTCATAATGTTTAGATGTACCTGGCGTGTGTGCTCGTATGTCGACCTCATGGACGATTTTCTGGTGTTACATGTACACTGCAATATCCAAGAGGGTCTTGATGGATATGAAGAATGTACATGCACAAACACACGAACACGTGCGCAAAGGCTCAGAGAAAATATGTTGTAAACCGTCTAAAATGACTTTAACTTTAATTTAGAACTGTACTGAATTTCAGTGTATCAATTTCCATTAACGAATTAACTAATCTATGGGCTCCGACATGACTCCAGATTCGACTCAGTCCTTCACTTTACGTGCACAGAGAAGCATAACAGAACAACCTCACATCTTCAGTCTCAGATCAAAAAGTGTCTTTATTCTGGACAAGCTTCAAGTTATATACAGATTATCTACAGGGAATCTATGTGTACATGTGGCTGCTACTTATTTACATACACGTACATGTGGCTGCTACTTATTTACATACTTATTGTTGTGCAATATTAACAGGTGATATGCATCTGTCTCAAGCATAGGCCTACCTATGGGCCTTTACAGAAAATACTATTTAAATGTATACAGGACAGACGCAAATTAGATAATAACATGTTGATTAACTATGACTACACAATGTGGAATTTATGCAGGATTCCACACGCCTTCCCCTCTTTATAAAAAATAATGGTACATTATTTTAAAATGACATCAACATGAACAACCTATATTCCCAGAATATAAAAATCCTTTTAATTAAACCCATTTAAACAGTTGTGCCAAACTTTAAATTTAATCTGTAATACTTGATCTGTAAACATGAATCCTACAAAACAAATTTTACCTTTTCATGAGGGTTAAAATCAAACAACATATTGAAACTAGATACTCTCACAACGACCACAACAATGAAATAATGATGATTATTATGATAATAACGCCGTTTAAAATGGTACAAATTATACCCCATTCCATCCTTATAAATTTTATATAGGATACTTCATATAATTATATTTTATCAAATATATGTATTCAATTATTGTTACACCCCAATAATCATTTGGTTTAAACCTATTACACTTATAACCTAATATACATATGAATGAATGCTCCACTTATAACACGTCATATACCCTGTACAATACTCTGGAATGATACGCAGATCTTCAACAGATTTTGTTTTTCATTCTGTTAGGGTGTCCAGTTCACCCAACCTCTGCCGGGAAGACCTGGCAGAGTAACCGGATTAGTCGCCGGACTACTCGACTCTTCTTCTGTAATATACACTTTTTCGTTGATTTAAAAAGTTCGGTATCCGGACTGTTTCGGGGTCTTGTGGTGTGGGTGTGGCAGTCTTTTCCTTCCCGGGCCGTCACGTATGAGTGTACTGTTGGATATCGACACTTAGTAAATCTAAGGCTTCGTTCACATGCAATTTAGAAAATAGACGTTGCATGTGAATGAAGCCTAAACTTCTGTATTGCATCCTATGGATAGCTAGGCGTGTATGTTTTTCAAATGTGGTGGGGAGGGGTGATGATCTTCTTCCCCCAGGACTAAAATCTATGAGCTTCCAGCATTCTGCTTGTGCTATAACACTGGCGGAGTGGTTTGGTATAGAAGGTGACGCGGATGAAAAAAATGTCGCTTTGCACGGCAGATATGCACGTAGAATAATAGACGAGGGCATTTTTACTGCTAGGTGGGGAATGTGGGGGGGGGGGGGAAATTCCGAAACTAATATATGGGGGAGGAAAACAAATGACTCGCTGTGTTTCTCCCACCCCAGGTCAACCTTTGTGTAATAAATTGAACGAATAGGTCTACATGTACAACTAAGTGGCATGTAATGTAGGCCTACGTTTTTATTGTGAGAGAAAAAAGAACACACAGTAAATGCAGCTTACACTTGACTGAATTCTGATCGAAAATAATCCGTCTACGTACACTTTTTTTACGTTATATTTCAGACTGAAAACTAAAGACTGATCCCTATAAACCTGTGCAAAAATGTCGGCCGCCATTGAAGAAGAGCTGAAATGCCCCATCTGCTTCGAGATCGCCGAGAATGCAATGGAGACCAGCTGCTGTCATAAACTGTTCTGCCTCAAGTGTCTTGCCGGTGTCGGAGAGCGATCGTGCCCCAACTGTCGTCGTCCCTACCAAGCGATGGTGTCACACTTTGCTCGGCGTTTGATCAACACGATGCCAGTGGAGTGTCCACTAGGGTGTGGTCAAACGCCACTGACCAGGGGAGATCTCCCTGACCACAACAGATTATGTGTTAAAAGAGTGTTTCAGTGTCCGGCTCCGGATTGTGACTTTCAGGGCGCAAGGCAAACTTTTGTTGCTCATTTATCTGAGACACACACGTCTGCGTTGATCGATCAAGCAGAAAAACTTTTCGAGACACCGGGGCAAAATATTGAATCCCTAGATCGCGTTGCTAGGACAACAAATAGTAATGGCGACGCAGCTCGTCTTGGGGAAACGGGTAAATATTACTGTAGTCAGCCGTTAAATGGTAGCTGCAGCTGCTGTAACGGTTTCTGTGGCCCTACCAATGGCTGCAACTGCACTCCTTGTATGAAACTCGACGTTAGCCGTCGCCGGCTTCCCCACGGCTGGCTGGTAAATAGGAAGGGTTTTTCGGCCAGGGTGGGACCAGAAACAGGGCGATTCTACTGCGGACGAAAAGTTATGCCTGTAAACTCGAGTTGTGACGGATACTGCGGACCAACGAATGGTCCGAACTGCGAAGCCTGTAGGAAACTTGACCGCCAGGCCAGGGATCGGTATATGGACGTGTGGGAGTAATCTCAATCTCTGAGCCTGTTGCAACTGCATGTGACTCTCTACAGGAAGTTAATGACATGTAGAAACTTGTGAGGCTCATTAATATTAATGACCTGAATAGTGTTGCAGTGCGGTGCAGTTGGATAAATCTTTATCTGTTATGAATATATATGTATTATGATTGTAAATTCAACCTGAACACCAGCGTGATTTTTGATAAAAAAATACTTTTAAAAGCATAAAAAAAATTAATTTAAATATAGAAACCAAATTTTATGTTCAGTAGGCTTTACAAGATGTCTTAAAATATATTTACAATAAATAAATAGCAGTAGGATGTAATACAAATGACTACGGAAAATTCAAATTAAGGCATATTCAAGTAAAAAATTAAAAAAACTAAGATTTCAATATATTGTTTAAATTTTGTAAATATAAAGCCCTGAATAAAACCTCTAAAATGTATGACAGCTTCTCCTTAAATAATTCCTGCGATTCGCTTTGTCTTTAAGAAATGAATAGAAAGCCTATTCCACTACAGTGCAGCTATGAGGTATGCTGTGTCACCATATTTTATAAGCTTAGCTTTGGGAACTTGAGTAAAAACCAGTCATCAGATTATCATATCCCTTAGCTATAACTAAAATGTAGCAGGTGCAGAGATAAAAAATATATATTATAACTTGAAAATCATCCTGCAAAGCTACTTATCCTTCAAAATTCAGACCTTAAAAACCTTATAAGCCCCCATGAATAAATTCAGTCGGTACTAGTTTCTTCTGAAATGTACAGGGAGACCTAGCGTTACCGTTCTAAATGACCGGCCATTAAATTAAAAATAGAAAAAAACAATCAAATACAAGTGCAAGGACGGGTCGAGCAATGGTTCGTGACTACTAGAATTTTTTTTCTCGCTTGGAAAATTCATTTAAATCCTGTATAGAGTATTTTTATTTGAAGAAAATGAGCATACATTGAAAGAGGGTGCCAGGCCTTCAAACCACTGATAATAAATATGCACTGTTTTTGCCACAAATTTGTCTGGCCCCTTCACCAGTAAAAGTACACTTGAAGCAAAAACGTGTCACCTGAAAATAGGTCACAATCGTGCCATCAACGATATTGGTCTTTTTTTCACGGAGCTACATGTACCCTTATCGAATGTGACCCATATTTGACGGATTTGCCACATGTAAACGTCCATCGACAAGATGGCAGTAGAGGTCCAAGCTAAAACCTTCCCCGGGGAGGTATCAGAGACATACCCGGAGCCATTTACGACCATCCCCCCTCAACCTGTCGATCCTAAACCAGGGCAACTGACGGAGGAACAACTGAAGTTCTTTTTCAGCGAGGTATCGTACTACAGTTTGTGTCATTTCTGTCTATGTTTCCCTTTCAACATTTTATCTTACCGTGCTCCGAAGTCGAGATCTTCTAAACCATTTCAGTAACTTAAACATTTGTTGCATTCTTAAACAAATTTATCAACAAAAAGATATTTAATCCTTTTCATATTAATGATATACAAATACACTGTATTAGTAACTCGTATAGGCCACCTTTTTGATGAAATTAAATGGACTGCATAATTTATACCAGAAAAGGAACATATGTCTTTGTTCTCACGGATTAAATGCTCTGCGAATATTATAACAGACAGCATGCAGAGTGGGATCTAATAATTTTTGAGTTTTTAGAATAGAAAATTATTTTATTTTAATGACAAAAAACATTGAATGCAAAAGAGATAAATGCGTCTACAAATATTAATCACGTTTTTTTTTTCACTTACACATTTTAACTGAAATATGTTGAATAAAGGAGCAGGTTTCTAAAACGATTCACGCGATGGCTCTTTAGTGCCGTTTTTACGTCTTTTATGGGTTTTTATACGGGAGAAATATTTGATAATTTTAAAAATAGTTTTTATCATTTTTTAAAACTTGTACTTAACATTTTAAAGTCTGTTGAATATATTTGGATTTTAAATTTTTAATAAATATCATTATTGTTATATCGATGCGCTGGTTTGTAGGGATATTTAGTTGTGGATAAGTTTTTCACCTCTGAAGAGTTAGAACCAGTGAAACATGCAGTCGCCGCTCTAGTAGACGGCGTAGCGATGAAACTTTTTAACGCAGGGAAAATAAAAAGTGAGTTATATTATCCTTCTTTGATGTTGAAAAAATAACATCGAAACAGTCATTCATTATTTAATGTATTGCGCAATTAATGAAATGAGTGTAACTTGTAGTCAATATATAGAAAGTCATGTCTACATTTGGGAATTGCATAGCGTGTGTGTATGCAAGGTGCTTGATTCTAACAAAATAGCAAAATAACCAATGACGCAAATACTTACCCATTCCTATCGTTTATTCATATTATTTCATAATTGATTTTTTCATTCATTAATTTATTTATAAGACGTGTTTTTCAGCGTTGTCAGATCAAAATTTTCATCTGTTTGCAGAAATCTTTCTATTTTGCTTATGTGTTGCTTTCTCACTGTAGATCTTTACACTGAGTACGGTCTGTTTGAGCGACTCACCAAGCTAGAGGAGGATTTTCCAGGGGCATCTATCGTTATGTTCAAAACTGGAACGTTTCAAAAGGTATCCAAGTGATCAGTGACAAACTAGTGAAATAAATTATTAATTTATTTAACTTAACTTAAGGTAGCTAGTAAAGCGTATTAAAAAGCGACAATGTAATATTACACTTTGAAAAACTGTAAGAATGTGTACTTCGCGGGAGACATCCACCAATTTAGGTCGTTTTAGTTTTTTCTTACTTCTTATTTTAATCAGCGAACATCAATTTGACGGCCTCTGCACCCTCTCTAACCCCCGACCCCATTCACACACCCACCCACCTGCTCCCCTACAGCTCCAGCCCCTATAAACGGATTAGGCGTTTACTAACACTACCCGCAGATCTTTTAGCAGTAACGCGCATATTAACCACCAAACCCACGAATTAACCAGCACACTGTACTAGCACTAAAAAAGTGATTCCTATCACTAACATTTATCCGCTCTGGTAGTGCTGGTTAAATTGTGGGTTACATGTAGGTGGTTAATATGTGTGTTAGTGCTAAAAGATCTGCGGGTAGTGCTAGTAAACGCCTAATCCATTCATAAGGTCTGAGCTCTGAATCATGTATTTAGACTGCGATCCTTACATATATATATATATATATATATATATATATATATATATATATATATATATATATATATATATATATATAATCTGGACTTTCTCAGGCGATAGGCGACCTGTGGAGCAACGAGCGCCTGCTGAATATGATGGAGCAACTGGTAGGACCGGATGTGGCGGGCCATCCGGTCTGGAACCTGAGGACCAAGACACCCAAAAATAACCTGTGGACCATCCCCTGGCATCAAGGTATGGACATCATGAATTCAACCTTGAAATCTGTGAAAACTAACCCCCACTATGTAGTTTCCAGAGGCATACTGACAGTGCAAGCTAGTTTGCTAGAATCACTGAAACTCGCGGTATTCCTGGGTTATCATACCGAGTTCACTAATGCGTAGAGTCATAGAGTTTCTACACTCAGCAGAATCCAGTACACGCTAACACAGTCAATTGATAAAAAGGCATGAATAAAAAATGAAAAAAATAAATTACTAGATTGAGAAATGACATTTTAAAAATATAATTAAATAAATGCATAGATTGATAAATAAATGAATAAATGGATTGGCTAATTGATTCGTCAATAATAGAAGATACATGTATAATCACTTGCTTTCTGATAATGAAGGAACTATTTCAAAAGCTGTAATTCGTCTTTCCAGACAGTGCCTACTTCAGCAACGACTCGTATGATCATCTGATTCCTACCGCCTGGATCCCGCTCCTGGATACCAATGCTCAGAATGGAGGAATGCAGGTTATGTTTGTCCTGTTTGTCCACAGTCCTTCCTGGCAAACACGAAACGTTGTTATCACGTTACCATAACGTTTATATAACTAAAGAACGTTATGATTAAGTCCTGTGTTTGCTAGCTATACAAATGTAGGTTAAACCTAACGCTATCTGTCGCCGCACATTCACTCATATTATTAATTTTAATGTATTTCACTATTTAGCTCATTCTGTAAAAAATTGATTTTAAAAAAAGGACGGAAGCATTTTATGATAGTTCATTGTTATAATATAAACAAATTTCATAAAAGATTTTAAAAAATGCGAAAATTATGTTTCGGTTTCTTTTGCAGGTTGTTAGACGTGCTCACAGGGCGGGGAAAGTAGCCCGCCACACATGTGCCTTTCAGTCCTCGTGGTACGTTGTACTGGATGAGAAGGACATTGAAAATACATTAGGTAGGTTGTGGAGAGTGATCACAGTCATTGTTTTATAACACAGATTACGAGTCTTAGTATTAGCAGTTAAGGTGGCGTTTTAGTGAATGTAAAATTTGCAGTTTTTGGGAAGATTTGCTTTCTTTAATTAATTCATTTTTTTAATATTGGTTTTCATCACTGTAAAGTTTGTTTATCCAGTCATACGTTGAAGCTTAGATCTGACCATCCTTTCCTTTTCTTTCTTTCTTTCTTTTCTTTTTTTTTTTCTTTTTGTAGTTAAAATAATAAAGATACTTATATCGAAAATAAAGATAATTGATCGCTGCGAAAAAATGTATTCATTCACAAAGTTTGCAGTAATACGTATAATTTGATCAGTGCTACAAAAGCCTTGAATCACAATCTTTCTCTGTCAGTGACAAAAAAATTCAAAGTTAAATCTTTGTAAAACAATCTTTAGGGGTAAATATTCAGGAAGACGTGATCACGTGTGACGTCCCCTACGGCGGGTTCTTACTTTTCCACAATTTAACTCCGCACAGAAGGTTAGCGCTATACCTACACGTTATACTCTTAAAGGGATAATAACTCTTCGTATGAGATCTATATTTAACAATAAAAACATTATGAATAACTCATAGAAATATAATATATTCTGTGATACCACAAAAACGGCAGTTATAGCTATTATTCTGATATCTGAGCTTGTCTTTAGACCACGTGACCACTATTGATGGCTATTCTCTGCTAAAATCTCCTAAGAGATTGCAACAAAAAACCAACCTTTTTAGAAAAAAAAATTAGGGACTAATTTTGAATGTAAAAATCGATTCAATAACCATTGGTAATTATGGGAAAATTGTTGTTTACTCCAGGAAAATTCATTTTTTGGCCGAAACGAAGAGTTATTATCCTTTTAATATTGGGCAACGAAGACCAAACCTCGTGCTGTTTAAACTACAAGATTAATGATTACAGTTAAACCTATCTGTTTTTAATGAAAAGTGTGAATATTATCTATAAGGGAAAATATAAATCCCTGCATATGAAAGTGATGAATATCATAAGCATAGTTGCGAACTTACACGTATCATTTAGAAATATTTTGTACGTTATTTTGCAATTCTGTACTGGCGTCAACATAATAGGTTTTTCTCCATTTCTCAAACATTGCTTACACCACGCTCATTTGTCTTTCGACTTTTTGCTATTTCTTGTTCTATTTAACCTTCCTTTTTTCATGTCAACATCTCTCAGTCTACCCAACATGTCTTCTCGCATTCGTTGGAGCCTGGATCTTCGCTGGCAGTCGCCGCACCAGAAGTGGGGCTTTTACGACATTGCGGAAGGCATCCTGTTCCGATCAGCGAGCAGTCCACATCTGACCCCAGACTGGAAGAAATTCTTGTCGGTAAACAGGAAGGAAGCATGGCAGAAGAAGCACCTGCAGAAGGTAAAGTTAATGTTCTCAAGGCGTACTCTCAAGGGGTGTTTACAGACGAGCTGTATCGCTGTACCGCGGTAGAAGAACGCTGGTTTTATGTTTTAAAGAATAAAAAAGGGGTAAACATACCAGAATGAAACGCTGCTTGGTTGAGATTCACACCAGGCATAGCTGTACAATTTAGACCGATTTCGATCTAATTTTTGAAATAAAGGCCAAAAGCCATTCACGGGAATGATGTAGAACGTGTGATAATGAAAATCTTTTTTAATTATCATTTCCAGTATGAAGAAACGGACGAGTTTGACACAACAGTAACAGGGCCTTGGTTTTCAAGGTGGGAAATTACTCACCGCAATCGTCACACGGAAGCATTCCGCAACTGAGTCACCTTCCAAACTATTCGACAAACCTCGGTTACTTCCGTATTTTTCTCCAAATACGGAAACTCCCGAGGGAGCCCGAATGAAATGACTCGATCTACGACAGTATATATGGAATTGTCCCAAGGAATAGACATATCAATCGTATATTTTTGCCTCAACTATTGTAATGTGCTAAAAGCAATCAGTCTCTCCTACTGCAATGAGGACCGAGCACAGCCATCACAAAAGCTTTAATACTAAAATTTTCAGCGTTAATGAATTTACAGATCTATATTTATAGGTATTACTGCTGAAAAGTAGAGTTCAAATAAAAGGAGTAAAGAAGTGTATTTTCAGGAATACAGAATGAAGCATTGCAAGTTTTGATATTTAACGAATTGTGTGAAAATCTTCTGAAACTGAATGAGTAATAAAATCACTACAACATTTGTGGTGCCCTTAAAAACATTACAGTTTACATTCATACTACAGCTAGCAAATAAAAGTAGCGTTTTTAAGATGTCAGACAGCTCAAAGAGTTGGTCAGTCACCGTGAAGTTAAACGATAAAATGTTACAAGAACATGGATGCAACCCTACCAAAACGTCGTTAACCCGGTCAAATATTCCAAAAATACCATACTATCTACCTAAATAGCTGCCTTATCTCCTTAAATAGCACACAATCTACCCGATATTACCGCCTTGGCGTTTATTTTTAAGTATCCGGTGTTTACCTTTGAAGAATATAGCATGCACAATATATTTATGAATACAAGATATAAAAAATATAATATATTCTGTATGCTATGTGGTGAACCGCAAATACATGTTCCATCTCTATCATTTGTCCCTATCTGACAAAATCTCAATGCCTCCATACGGTTTTACCATGAGAGGTTAATAACGAATAAAACAAAACAAAGCGAAGGTTTCAGGTAAATTCAGTGGGTGGATTTACTTAATCGCCTTTAAATTCGTATTGAATGACGCATTGTCGGATAAAGAGATAGTGTCCTGTAAACTCAATAAGTCTGCAATCCTACTTCAGTAACTTAGGAATTGTAAGAAATAATAAATAATAAATCATGCTTATTGAAACAGACGCTGCTTTTTTGTAAGATCATGACACGGTTTTCTTGTGCTTTTTAGCACTACAGAGAAGTCCCGGTCAAAAATCACTAAAAACACTTGTCCCTATGGCGTGGCCTCCCTTGTCTAGAACCAGGTGACGTCACCGGGTGGGGGGACTCCGTCGACAGGTAAATTATATCACCAAATGTTCTCGTTATCATTTCAATACCAATAAAGAGGATTTTAAAACCAAGATCGCGTACATGTATACTACATGTAAATGTTTCAATTTTAATCTAAAATGATATATTTTTCGTATCACATATTCTTGGCCTGGTTCGAAGAATCAGTGCATTTTACAAATAACGGTTTCATCATTCAAGCCCAAGAAATTGGTTCTTGTAATTAGACTTCTGAAATTATGTGCACCTATTTATTTCTAGGGTGGTTTTCTTTATCATTGTTGTTTGTTCCTGCTTATTAGTACTGTATAATGTTTGCGTGGGGAGTATTCCATTCGTCATAATAAGAATGATTAAGGAACACACAATGGTTAAAATAAGCACATGTAATCTAAAAATAGATAATAGATAAATGAGTTCTTTTTGACCACATGGACTTGGTATTATGTCTATGAGCTTTCTAGTCTCACTGGAGGACTGTCGTCTATTTAGATGTTAATAAGGTATTCAAAATCGGTTATTCCTCATCTTTATCAGTTGTCTAGACAGCAGGGGTGGATTTAGGCCGTCTTCTGGGTCTTCCGGAAGACGGTCAGATTTTCAAGTTTACATTGACGGGTATCTGATTTTTCTGTTGGAAGACGATCATAAATGGAGGATGGATCAACATAGATAATTTGGAAGACTGTCAGAAAATATCTCCCTGGACAGGGCTCATGTTGTCTCTTGGTACATGTAAAATAGCACATTTTGCATTTATTACTTTTAGGCAAAGCTCCAAGTACAGTGGTTTCTACATTGCCCGGTTGAATTTGGCACAGAGTCAAGGGACCGCCAGGCTCATAAGCTGCCCACGCAATTTATACAGCGTAAAATAAGTAAGCGGAGGCCATGAGTACAATATGCACCTATGACTAATTAAAGCTATGCCGAAGGAAGTCAGTCAGCGACAGAGTTACACTGTAATCACACTGGGCCATTTGAAACATTGTTTACTTTTAAAAGGTATTTTGCAGGTATTATATAGGTAACAGCTGTCTAGGAAATCCTCCTTTGCAAATGCATATGATTCATTCTTTCTGACAAATTCTTTTCGCGGCTTTCCACACACGTTTAAAGTGAACCAAGAACAGGTGTAGATAAAATACATAAGTTAGAAAAGTTATATTCGCTCATCTTTGGCACTATACTAGATCATCGGGGATCCAAGGGTCATTAAGACTAAATTCGAACACCTTGACTCTAATTATCGGCTAGTTCTTGAAGCTTTTTCATATCTCGAGGGGGGGTTTATCATACGTGTCTATGTGGGTCTCACAATGATCACCAAATTTTTAACGTCCGACCCCCCCCCCCACCCCACCCCTAAGTTCCGGGACAAGCAGGTTATTTCTTTACCTGTGCCCAAAGATAACCGAACCTTCGTGTCTTCATCAAGACACTTGGTTCCTTCCGCGGGGAACGAGTGGGTTTATCTCGTCACTAAATGTCCTCTTCCGAAATAATTATGCAAATCTTGGCCATCCGACTCTTCAAATTGACCACGACTGACGGCGGTTTTCGTGATATACAGACAAGCATATTGCGTAAGCAAACCAGAAATCGCTTATTGAATCACTGGACACATAGGGATTTAAGCAAGGAAATTATCATCATTTTATCAATAAAACGTCGCCTCGAAGGGTGTGATTTTGAAACACAAATACAAGCACTAGGTGAGTTTGTAGGCGGTGGGCAAATTTGGATGACTCGACCTTTCGTAGTTTGCTTTAGATCAAGCCATGACCTCGCGGTTTTGTCAATGTGTGACCAACCAATTACAAAAGAGGAAATACCGTTTTAAGTGGTTTATTATATTTTATGGGTGGTGAAATGTTCCACCGGGAAAGTTCAACCATGTGATATTATTTCTTAATGGCACGCTGACCGTACGGATGACTTATATCTTGAATCGGCCGGTAAACTTAATTGTTGAGGTAAAATTCCCATTGTTTCTGTCCAGGACGCGCAGACAGAAAGAACATTTATAGAACTGACAGAAATTTCTGTGCCGTCAATCAGTTTAACAGCAAAACAAATTTGACAGTATTAAAGATATACTAGAAATTGACCGTCGATCCATAGGTATTCCCGATTTATTTCAGTTTTTAATGAAAATTATACAGGAAGGAGAAAGCTAATTATTTTCCCCGTTAGATATTTTCTAATATCTATGAATTAACAGATTCCACTTGCATAATACACAAAGAAAAGACGCATTTTGTAATGTAAATTAAATATAGAATTCATTCTATGTTTATTAAAATTAATTTATGTGGTCAACCATAAAAAAGAGCAAGAAAAAACCATTGAGAAGGAAGCAAAAGTTCCGTAATAAATTGCACAACCCCCACTTCGTCTTAGCAAGGAGTGCCGCTCAAATCATCATGTGCTGCCAACCAGGGTGGACATATGACATAATAGCCATGTTCCATGCATGTTTTACTCTCTTACCTAGGGATGCGTTCACATTGGTCATATCAAGCACCGAGGCCCAGCTTTGAACCGGTTTTAGACTCATTTGAATCAGGTTCACAGTATGACGTTAACATTCAAGTTTGGCTGTTTGCAATCAACTTCACATCTTATTTATTTTAACAAACTCCTGGTTAGACTACAGCGAAATCTGTATCTTGCGGTCCTCTGGGAATATGACATCATAATGATGAAATCACGTGCCTTATGTTGCAGATAAGGGAAAGTTTACTGCTCAAGATGACTATTTATGTATGCTTGTTACGGAGGTAACTAAGGAGCACGCGAAATGTTGGTGGTTTTCACAGTGTAATGATAGGGACAAGTTTTGTTATGAGAAATTCATCACAGCTTTTTAAACCCCAGAGATATTCCCTTTGCTCGTGTTAGCGTTGGAATAAGTTGAAAATTTGGCAATGAAGTCTATAGTTCTCATATTGAAACACATAAGACATATATGAAATGGGCCTATTTCTAAGAAAATTCACACACATTCCATTTTGTTTTTGTTTATTCCATAATCGCCAATAATCTGAATCTTTTTCAAAAACAATATTTTTAAACGACGGGAGCGGTAGTACCTATATATAGAATGTAGTATTCTTGAACCTTCGAATGCGTGTGCGTTTTCATTCTACGGTAACGTATTTGATAACAGCAAGGTAAAATGGCTGTAAAGTTTTGGTTATCCAAAGCGACAAAATAAATAGCACCATATTTATTGATATTTACATGTTAATACGTGTAACATAGTACTTATAAGGAGAGGTACACAGATAGAGCCTACATAAGGAGCAGTGGTGACTGTGCCACTAGTTTGATGTCACACTGCACGCTAGCCTGTAGTAGCCATACCAAAGTTACTGGAAAAGTTATTGGAAAAGTAAATTTACAAGCCTTGGCCATCCCACGTGCGATTGTTCAAGAGGCAAAATGAGAATTAACATACATATTTTAATGAAACTGAATTTGATCATTCTTTCCAAATTGTTATACTTCTATTTCGACGATTCTTTTAAAGATACGATGAAATTAATGAAATTACGAACCGATTGTAGAATTTAATGCAAAAATAAAAAAAGAAAGAAAGAAAATCGACCATTTTATCACACTTACCAGTATTTCAAAACGAGCTTTAATATTCATTTTAAAGAACACTTCCTATATCAGGTGGTCGGTTATATGCACCCCTTGCTTTTCCACTTCGAAAGAAAATTTAACTATGAGCACAAGAACTTACTGCTTTCCCATACTAAGAAAAGAACGGAGTACCCTTTTGGGCTTATATACATTTAAATAATGCAACCCAAATGCCAGGAACGGACCGGAAAGTGATAGCAACAATTAAATTTGACAGCCTGAGATTATGCCCTAATTGGCTGTTAATCCCGTCACTTCCGTCATAAGCCACATTAAGATACGAAATCTGCACATTCTTGGGCATCTCTAACTCTTAGATATATACATTCCTCTCTGTCATGACTTCATGGTCATTGCCTCATTCGTCCTCGTGAAGTCACCGACACACAACAATTAAAGCAGGAACTGTGCATAGTTATTATTCATAATAATTCATACTTATTCGTCTGGTTTTAGCTCATTTAACAACATCTTTTTGATGGTCAACCTCAGCCTGTTTACGGGTCAGGACGGAATTGTTCAGGTCATCTAATGTCTGCGGTTCTACCCGGTACTGGTCACAGCTTCACATCTTTCACAATTGATGAACGATAGTAATGGAATGCATTTACCCTGTCTGAAGCCTTATTGTTAATTGTTTTGGGAACTAAAACCAACGCCATTTAGTTTCACTCTTTTTTATGTCTACGTCTAATGAAATAAGGACAGTTCAGTTTTCACTGACACATTACATGATAGAAAGAATGCACTGGAATATTCAGTTATAAACAGGGACAATCTATGCTTAAAATGTTAGTTGATTTAATAAACTGCCAACTTCAAGGTAATTAGAAGTGAAGTCACCAGCTCATCTTTAAAAAGTTAAATATTCTTTATTATCGTTTCGTTTAAACAGAATTTTGACGCTACTTTTGTGGAAATTGATTTGAAAAATCAGTTTGCCCAAATTATGTGGCCAAGTTTCAATGGAAAATGTAAAAATAATTTTGTCATCCCATACATTGAAGTAAAAATGGTATCCTTGGTGACGGGCATCTATACAGGGGAAGTTCTTTTTTGCAATGAGAAATAATCTGTGAACAGAAAAAAATTGGTAAAATATACTGAATTTACATCTACAATATCTTTTATACTTAAATATATTTATTTTTATACATTCTTTAAATTTTGAAAAATTTCTTTATTTTTCATTCATTTAACAAACCCTATACTCTTTACCACTTTTTTTCATTTTAAAATGTTTCCACATTGACTCACATTCCATACAATTTTTCATATTCATAACTTTTACGTGTTCTTCACAGTATTTGACATTTCTCCGTACATGACTTTCGCACGATCTTTTTTTTTTTTTTCATATTAAGACTTCCATTTATATTGACCTGCATTCCTGGCCACTGTTTTTATATTAACTTTCTCGACCTGTTGAATTTATTTGCAACGTAAGCGTCCGCCCATAACTTGTAGCTAACGGGGTTCGTGTTATCTCTTTCCTTTATTATTTTCTATCGTAATAAGCGATTCTGTAGTTACGGGATAGTGTCTTGCAATGTCAAGCGTAAGTACATGTAATCTTTTCTCACTTTAGTTCTGTATGACATATGTCAGAAGTGAAATTGATAGATATGTCTTCGTTTTCATCTAGATGTAAAAAACAAACTGTGCTGATTTCAATCATATTCAACCTATACTGAGCTCTTTGTCATATTTTGCACGCAGAGAAACATGTCTTGCTGAATGTTGTTTTTATTTCGTGACGGACATCAATTCCGATACGATCTCTACAGCATTGAAATCTTACAAGCTTGAAATGAGGCACAACACGCCTTGTCTAGTATAGTGAGAATGGCGTTCTGATCACCGCGTTCTTCTGATGAAGAGCTTTCTATTTACAAAAGTTAATATAAAACTGAAAGCGTATAATCTAGTGTAGATCTAAGCGCTTGCAATAAAACATGAAACACAACAACTGCGAAGACTGGAATTCTACATGAAAAAGCGCCCTGCATCCTCAGCGACCCTGGTCGAGGTATGAGCGCGCTAAACGGGTACAAAAGAAATCCTACCGATAAGGACATACCAGGTTTTTGAATTAGTCCGTTGTATTTGATAAAATCTGACAGAGAGCGACCCTGGGGCTGGGCAATTAGCCTAAATACCCTCGCATCGCCAACACCGTGACCATTCCTGGCGGCTGCAAGCCTCTTCCGATTTGGGAGGATCTTGACGGAAAACGCCGTGTTAAATGCCCGCCCACTACCGTTTTCTTCCATGTTCGCCCCTATTTGTCTCAGAAAGGCGTGTTGTAATTATAGTTTGAAATGCATATATTTGCATGGAGAAATATTAGGCTATTTTCACCTTCCTCTTAACTCGACAGTAGCTTATTATTGTAGACCTTTTTTTATTATCCAGATTTACTGGAATTATTCATGGATTTTTTTCCTTCGCAAAGTGAAAAGTTTGCAGCAAGTTCGTGCAACCTAAACAGTTACCAAGAATTTGTCCGTAGATTGTTGCAAGGAAAAATGTTAATGCAAATCGGCTGCAAATTTGCAAGAGCATCTCAATTTTGTTGCAAGTTTGTAAGAAGTGTTTATATCCTTTCATATTTAAAGCAGTTTCTCATTTTAAGGGTTAATTATTTCTCGGAAATTTGCAGGAATTTTGCAGCAACACTTTGCTAAAAGCCCCAGATTTTGCCAAGTAACATATCCTTATAATCTGCTTCTAAAATAATAAAATAAAGTTAACCCAAACTCGACTGGAACCAGCTTTCCGCCAAAGTACCCCCTTCTATGTAGTTTGAGAATGAAAAATATTATTGAAACAAGGTACCCACCCCGAATTGGTGCCGATTATCCTATTCATATAATCCTGTTGTGTATTAATGGTTTTCAATTATATCTTTTTTTTCATTTTTTAGTGATTTCCCTGGTCAGGACTAAATACACGCTAGCCCTAGAATAAACAACATCCCTGCGCGTGTCATAGGGAAAGTAGTATTAACAGGTGTCAAATTGCCTTGTATGTTATGTTTAAAAAAGGTTTATTATTCATTATCATTATCATTTAGGGCATATTTCCTCATGGTTTAAATCCAACTGCATGACGGGTAGACTGAGTTTGTAGAAGGTTTTCATGAATATAGGAAAATGAAACAATGGCAAACTTGTTAATAATTTCAAAAGATGAAACCAAGTGTACTTGAAAACCAATTTTTCTTTTCTAAGACATTTCCAACATACCGCAGCGCAATTCAAACGTTTCAAAGAAAGGTCATCTCTGGCTTATCTGAAATTAAGAACTTCCACGCGCGAAAGATAAAAGATAAACCCGATGACCAGTTACGATTATTATGCCAAAGTAGATAATCTTATAATGAATCTAAATTGCAAGTTGAACGAAAAATTATCAGCTCTGTATAGTCTAAGGTGACATTATGAAGTATCCTGGATAATTTGACGCTGTTGTGTTTCCCTAAAGAGATCGAAATTCTGACTATCGAACATTAAAAACAAAAGAAATATCAGGGCCTTCTTTTGGGTGTGTGAAAATTGAATTGAAACTACTTAACTAAAATTAAAATATCATATATCCCTTGGAACAATTGAAATGGGCCTATCTGGGTGAACATAAGCGTTTCGCTACTGACATAAAGAACGCAAATGAGGAATTTAAGACATCAAGTGTCGATCCTATTCCATGATAACGATGTCTTTACTTTGCAGTTAAGGTATTGTCTCAACTAGATTCAAATATTCAACGACTGTATTCTATTTAAAGAATATCCCAAGCTTTGTTTTAAGTGTGATCGTGACATTTCGTGTCTCAGATTCAATTTTCGGTTCAGCATCATCAGATAACATCTGTTCACTACACTGGAAGTGGATTCTGATTCTGATTTTTATTTCGTCAAATCCATGGGCTCGACCTCAAGAGCTGGCAAGATTGTCGCATTTCATCATCTTTGGTAACTAGCAAAGAAACTGAAATATAAAAGATTGCAGCAGTCCTATGTCCCTAATGAACATACTGTATGTGTAACATCCAAGTATCATTTCCGCTCAAAAATACATCTCTCTTACGTTTACTCTTAGTACGTTAACCGCATATTATGACTTAAAAACTGACACAAACGTCTAGACGCAAGTTAGATGACAGTGGCTGATATCTACACTACGCCTGTAAAAAGGGGGTGTAATTTTCATGTTCCATGGTGCGGAGATTATAGCATTGCCTAATGAAGAACCTCCGCACTACATTAAATCTTTCTGGGTCTATAGGCTATCCGCCCAGTATCAAAGATAAAATCTAGCGACAACCACATAATTAAGACAGGAAAACCCGTCTGAAGTAACCCCAAAATATAATATTACAACGGAGAAAAAAGTCCTCATCTATACACAGCTATATACCACTGTATCAGATTTTTCTCTGGTGAAAGTTTAGAAATATATTTGGTTCTGCAAACACACAGATCCTTTAAACAAAGTTTTAAAAACTGAATTAATATATGCACTTGTTTTGTTAATCCGTTTGTGCAAGACATCTCTGTATAAAGTTATGCCAAGAACCAGTATCGTAAAACAGGGCAACATAATAGAAGTTTTTTTCGGTTAAATCCATATATATACATATTAATACATTCCTTCTGTTTTGTATGAAAATGATATATATTCATATATGTTATTAGGGAAATGATTTATCCGTCTACGACAAAAATGCGCAGACCCATTCTAATTAAAACTGTTCGCTGATTAATTAATCCAACCGCTCTATTACGGCCATGGCGTTGGCCATGGTTCGTGCCAATAATTATAAGTGAATGTCCACGCACTGCTGCCTTGCGGAATTTCGTTACACTACAATGCTCGCGCGACCCGCTTCGAAATATCTCAATGAAACCGTCAGATACGTGTCTAACGTCGCGCTCATTTGCATTTGGCCGTATGGGGTGTATATAAGTAGGATAACGGGAACCTAAGCATCACACTCAGTGTCGAAGGCCATCATCTGGTTTTGTTGGAAAGCAGTCTGAGGCGAACTAAAAAGTGAGTTCAGTTTTTCCTTGTCTTTATTCTCAAAGGACCGTGTTTAACGAAATAGCTGCATTCTGCGCGCAGGTAAATGGACTTTGGCGGACAGTAGTGTAACACTTAAATGACGCGGTTAAGATTGCGGTGGAGTCAAATGATAAGGTGCATCATGCAATCGACCCGCCTAAGACAGCGCCGTGTTAGTCATGAAATACAAATTAAGGAAAACACGACCTCAGTGGGTAATTTGCATGAATAATTTCCTTGCTAGTTGACTAGATAAATAGCGCGATTCTGCCACATATGAAGCCAGTTGATCGAGGAACCCGGAGAGTGAAACTTTATTAGGTACATTTTACAACGCTCTTTTTGAAAGGGTTTAGGCTTTTTAAACTCTCATTCAAACAAGTGAAAAGGTTGTGCAACCAGTACGTAGGTAAGTTTAAAATATTAGTTAGAATAACAAATGTAATTTTGGCTATTTTGTCCAATTATTGCAATAACGATATTTCTGAAACGAAGCCCAGACATTTGAGTAGAGTAAAGGAGGCGGTAGTCTTTTCGAATCAAGATAAAACGAGCGTTGAGATTAATAAGCATGATGTAGATATATGCAAAGCTTAAAGCTCAGTGTTTTTTGTGCGGTGTTTTTAGTGAATGAATTTACATTAGACAATTTTGGAAGCGACACCATTCAGGATAGTTGAATTGCCAGCAACGAATTTATCACATTTAATTAATTTTAGGGTCTTGTTTTCTTTGTTACACGTCAAACCAGTAAGGGAACCCCCCTCAAAACATGTTATATTTTGCAATGATTACGCTTTTTGATGTATGGAAAATGTTCCTAGCTCTCTGAGACAGGAAAGCTACAGCTACGACGACATCATTTAAGTAACCAGCAATTTACACATAGCTCATCGGTGGAAGTAAAATCTTTTAAAGAATGCACATTCAGAATGAGAAGTAATCTTGGTTAATTAGTGTGGACGAAAGATAAGGGAAATTCATATAATTGTTATCAGTTTTTAGGCAATACCTCTTTTGTGCGTTTATTATACTGCAATTTTGATTTGATTTATCACAATAAGGTAGTTTCCATCAAGTCTATAATCTTTCCTTTAGATAGTCAGACAGTCCGTGCGATAGCACATGCTTTCACTAGTGTAATTATTTAGGATTTTATAGAATAATCATTCATCTATTCTGGTATATGCAAATGAAACTTTAATTGATTATAGTGTATCAAATGATGTACAAAAAAAAATCATAAAAACACCAAATTTAGTTTCACCCATGCAATTTTTTCTCGTCCATGTCATGGATTTATGCTCGTGTCTGCGGTAAGCAAATTCATCCTTATCCTATTCGTAAGATGTGCCTGTGTAAACTTTAGATTAGCAGCTATATAGTTTAGTTAAAATGGCACTTCTCTAGCTTCATTCAAGTTACATCCAAAATCATATGAAAACCAATAAAAGTGACTTCATTTTTAAATGTAAAAATTAATTACCACTAGATAAAATGGATAAAGTAATTTATTTGCAAAAGTAAGTGACCAGGTGTCTTTTTTCCCCTGGTTTGCATTAAGTCACTGCAGTAGAAGCAGATCTTCAGATAATGTCGGTAAATCAGTTAGTGATCAAAACGACGAGCTCCAGCTAACTCTGCGTTCAGGTTCACAGCCTCCGTGTTACAGAGAGCGCTTTTATCATCAAGATAGTCCAAAGCTGTGTCTGGTCAGCCCATGGACAGCGTCCGGTCCAAGAAAGATAACATCTCCACAAGTGTTGTGATTTATTATAATTTTGTGATAGTAGTGTTAAGGGGTTCCTAAAATGTGAGAAAGACAATGCAGTAATGACAGGGGGGAGATTAACATCCCATCTTCTGTGATACCGATAGAGACCTTGTTTAATGACCCATGTTCAGGGTTTATTGTGCTTTTTCGCAAAAGTTTAAATCAAACGTGGGGCAAAACTTCTCGTTAACTGATTTATTGATTATAATTGTGCTTTCCCAGGGATTAACGTGCCACTTTAAAACAATTTTTGATATAAAAAAACTATATATCCGACATTAAAACTAACTTAGTAGTTTGACAAAAATGACGGTCCTGTCAAAAAGAGGTAAATGGACGTCGCCTACTCTTCATATAGATTATCTTATATTATTTAATATTATGCTATTCCTTATCATCAGATGAAGGAGATTTGTAAAATAACATTTCTTTGCATCTAATTATGATAATTAGCATTCGTTATCTCGCTTTGCTGGTCTTTGTGCAGTATGGCGTGGTACGATAACCGCACTTCTAGCACCTGTACTACATCACCGCGTTTCCGTTATCTCAAAATTCAGCATGTTTCCTCCTATTTGGTGAAGGGAATTTTCCATTAAAAGTATTCTACTTCTTTCGGTCGCACAGGCCCAAATTGAAGTTTTTATATACATCCACTTTGGAGGGCGCCTGTTTCGAAGCTTCCGTTACAGCAAGCTTCACTGCGAAAAGAAAGTGAGAATTGATAGTTGGTGACAAATGATACCAACCTATATATTTGCCAGATTTATTTCAAACACATAACCATTGCAAACAGATAAAATTTTCCACATGTATTTTAAGAATATTTCTGCTTTAATAGTAGGTGCGATTTTCATAATGACAATTAATTACTTATGCATTATAAGAAAAATTCCTGACCATAATAATGGTCTAGTAAGACGCCTTTCAATATCATTTCAGAACAAAGATGAAGGTGTTCATGATCGTGGCGTTCGTGTCCCAGGCACTACTGGTTAGGGCTCAGAACTTTCCTAACCCAGGAACCAACCCAGGCGCACTCCCAGGTAAGCTGAAACTGATCTCACTTGCACATGTAAAATAAGCATCGATTGTTCAAATAACATGTATTATACAAATCGAAACTTTTTGAATAGATCTCAGTCCTAGTAATCAAAAGCCATATATATATATCAATCAGCCAAATCAAACTAAGAAATGCGTTGTTTATTAAGCTTTTTTTTATAAATAAACTAAAATTGTATGTCAAGCGTTGTGCGTTAAGAAACTTTTAGCATGCGTGCAAAATTCATGATGCCCTTATTAATATATGCTATCAATCTCAAGTGAAAACGATAGACAGAATATTAGCATTTTCTTGTATTCTGTTTTATTCCAGTTCCACAACAGGAGTATGACGTCGATGAGGATGCAGGTACGTTATACACTTCACAAAATAATACAATAGTAATCATATTTTTGTAGATAAGGAAAAATGATGGGGAATATTTTTTCTGAAAGAATTCATTATATATATTTTGCCCATATGATGATATATTAACGACGAAGTACCCTATTTGTTTTTAGAATATTGCCGTAGATGTATCCAATCCCGTAACGGAGTTGGTTACTACGAGGACCCTAACGACTGCCGCGCCTACCTTCACTGTAGCGAAGACCAGTACGGCCGCGCTATCGCCTTCAGGATGGGCTGTGCCTCAGGCTCGCTCTGGGAGCAGAGAGTGTCTTCATGCGTTAGCTGTACCCTGGCACAGTGCTTCGGATCGAGGCTCCCACCCGGAGTAGCAAGATGTCCACCAACTAGTAAGTTCTAGATTACCCTTCAAGCAAGACAAATGTCCGCTCCGTTTAAGATTGAAACGAAATATCACAAATTTAAATAGGTTACAGGTCAAAAAGTACTTTGAGATCCAATTTCCTTGCCAATGCACACGCAGAACACGCGCTGTCTATTGGTCAAACTAATTTAAAAATCTCACCATAGTTTGCTCAATATTGCTTCTCTGCCCAGGTCTTAAATCAATTGTTAAAACCCATCACGCACTTATTTCAGAAGAATTATCTTAATCAAACCATTGCCCTATTTCAGCACCCCCACCACCAACCACCACAGTTGGGCCCACCATTCTTCCCCAGTTCGCCGGCAGCTGTGTTGCCGCCAATGACCCCGCCGGCTGGACCTACCACGCCGTCCCAGGCGGTCAGAACATCTTCTACAGAGAGAAGCTTTTGGGTGACGAGCGCAAGGTAGAAAAAGTTAGCTGTGGACCATGGATCTTCGATCTGACCATCTGCGCTTGCAGAACTCCTCGTAAGTTAACAAAAGTTTTATTCAAAAGGATAAATTGCAAATTCAAAAATGTAATATATTGCTATCTAATTCTAATATTTGTGCGTAATGAACAATAGTGAATTTTGCTCCGTGAATTAGATATGGCGAAGGGGCATGTTGTATCTACAAAATAGGCCCAAGTAAAGTTATTGATGTTAACGATATTTTTTCAATCCTATTTCAGCTCGCCAAGCAATTGCCGTGGTTCCATTTGACAGTACCCCTTTTATCACCCTTGTGGACAACTTCTACATCGACGGTTACGGCGTGGGTGTTGGCGCTGGAAAGGTCGACGGCGCCGCCATCTTTAACGGAACTTCCCACGTAGAAATCCCACGTTTCAACAACTACCCATGGGGCGCCGGTCTCACTCTGTCCTTCTGGTTCAGCCTTGCCGATAACAACCCCAATGTAAAGAAGGGTCTCCTGAACAACGGCGACTGCCAGGTCGTCCCCACTATCCAGTTTAACTACCAAAATGGCCGTCTGATCGGTCAGATCATTGTCGCCAGCAACACCACCCTGCAGACCGTCACCGTGAATATTGCCACATCTGTGAGTTGACATTGTCCTTTCTTCCTTTTTCTTTCTTTCTTTCTTTCTTTCTTACTCTTTTTCCTTTCCTTTTCCGAATCTAAACAACTTTCACAATAAATACAGATATTTGACCACAATAAACACAGATCAATGTAAGGAAAATGTCAGAAAAAAATGATGAATTTGTTAAGTTTTATTTTATGTAGTAATTTATATATTTTTTTAATACTTTGATTTGCAGGAGCTCCAAAATCCACGAGCTTGGCACCACGTTGTTTTAGTGTACGATGGTCTTAAAGTGCGTGTTTTCGTCAACAACAGGATTGCCATCGATGAGATCGCTGTCGGTTAGTCTATGTTTTTGAACTTCATTTTTTAAAATTGAGAATGAAAATTATCAAGAAGTAAAATAACAGTTTTTTACATTATTCATTGCTATCCAGCATTTCATTGTTTGATAATAAAATTTTACACTTTATTGTACCATAAATGTAACAAAATATTTAAATGGTTTAATTTGTTAATGTAGGTATCATCCCAAGCACTTTGGCCCCTCTCCTTATTGGTCGCGATCTCCATTGTGAGTTCCAAGAGGGCGTTCCACGTACCAACATCATCGGAGCCGTAGATGAGGTGAGTTAAAGACAGCACTTTCCATCATTTTATTTCATTTTATTCATCAATTCTATTGATTTTTCTCTGAACAATTTGCTTCATTTCAAATGCAGTTACCAAATATAAACTCAAATGGATAATTGCAATAGTTTACGTTGTTGCATGACACAGTGTAGTGCGAGATAAACTGGATGTTTTAGTTTGTGACCAATTCATATTAATCCTAATGTCTCTTTAATTTCCATCAAATGTTGGCAAGGCACTAGACCAAATGTAAATATCCAACTTAACATTGTAAGCAGATAATGTGATGCTTTATTAACTCCATCTTATTAATATTTCAGCTGCAAATCTACGACTGGCCAATGGACAACAACCAGGTGTCACAACTGAACGCTGGAGTACGTAACATCCAGATGGACCCCTACTCCGGATACACCATCGGTTAAAAACTGCAATTGCTTGGTGACGTTGTTAGTGCCCCTTTATACTAATAGCGGATATCACCAGACAATAACGGATACGGACCAGGCTGTTGTTTTCATGAGAACTGTTGCTCGTACCATCATCATTAGGTGCTAAATAATAGGACATTTAAACCAATCAAACTTTAATTCTAGAGCTATGTTACGATAATGTTACCGTATAATATGTAAAGTCCCCGCTTTCCAAGGAAGGGTCGTCTAATTGTCGACGGGGATTAGTAGAAACCAAAGGTTTCGTCAGAGCAAACCTGAAGGGCAACTGTACGTAGTTCTGTCACCCGGGACACATTTCAGACCTGCCATTGTTTTACAGGGTTTCCTGTGACTTCAAATTTTCGAGCTCACATCATGATCAGGTTTCTTAATTTTAACAAGGCGGCTGAAGGTGTGACCTAATCGACAGGGTCGAGTACGGTCCGTTTCGTTCACCGCCATGACGCTTTGCTCTTTGCTTAACCTCAATCAGTATTTGCAACACAAACCTGGCAATGCTCTTAGAATGTTCGTTGCCACACCGCCACACCTATGCCAATCTTACCGACATAGTGAATGTATGCTTAGGATTAGTTATTGCAAGGCTGTTTGAAAATACCAAAAAAATTAGATAGCGCACCAGTGCTTACGGTGAAGTATTACAGAGTGATTATTTTTGTAAGGTGGTTTCCCGCATTAATTCTTGTTATGGCCGCAGGCGTGTCATCCTCTGGCAGATGCCCTACGTTTAATTTTACTGCTCGGTAAAAAATACCGTCATATTTACATTATTTAATTCTTCAGATCATTCCACCTCTGACACGTGTTCTTCAGTCATTATGCTCGGCGAGCGTATGTGTGTATACGTAAGCGATGTAATCATTGAAATCTAACATAAGACATGGAATGCAGTCGCATTATTTACAAAATGTGTGTAAATCATTCTGGGAATTACACGCCATGGTGCATTTGCAACAGTATTGTCTTGTCTATTGTGTTTATGTACTTCAGCCGTACATCGATTATATATTTATTTTTGAAAACGGTCCACTTACTCACCAGTTACTTTGTTGGTTAAAATCCATATAATAATTAATATACGGTATTAGGGATAGTTATATTTATACGTTTGCATATTTGATCTAAAATAAACCAAAGTATTAATGTTTATTAATGATTAGTCACGTGTTGATACATGAATGAATGCCCGATAATGCGAAATTGTGTGATCTTTCACTCTCTTTCTCTCTCTCAAGGAAATTCTACAGATTTTGTCTTGATTGTTCTGTGGACACTCAAAATCTGAAACGTCAAAATCAATTTGTTTGGGTCCTCACTTTTCAAACCTTCCAGCCTTTTTTACTGTGCAGATTTGCTATTTGCAATGTTATTTGAAAAAGACACATTCATGAGCGAACACACAATAAGAATACAGAAATATGTACATTGGTTTCTCCAGGGCGCCAAATCAAGCAATAATACATTTCTTTAAAACAACATTTCTAAAAAACAAGTCTTTTTAAATTAAAATTAAAGTTGAATATATAGACTGAATATATAGTCGTGCAATTAACCAAAGTAACGAACCCATTTTTTCACTGACTAAAAAGGAAAAAAATAATACATGTACCATGAAAATAAAAAACAACGGAAAATTAATACCAACATAAATAATAATTTTAATAATTAAAAAATATCACGCGCCTGCAATCTATTAACTGATAGCCTGTTGCATCGTAAAGATTCATATTTTATATAAAAACTGGCAAAAAAATGCAAATTTTAATGGTAAAGAAATCATTGAGAAAAAGCCAGGCTAAGAATAAACTCTCTAAATAAAATTTATGTTAACCATAATCCTAATAGGCTATTATAGGGAAGACCGAGAAAATGACGTTATTAATATCACCCTATACTACAGTATGTAGAGGTTCGTCGATTGGCTAAGTACCGGTACGTACATGGACGCTAGCGAACGAAACCTGTACAGTACCGAGTTAGTATCAAATAGGTTAATACTTGATTAAAGAAACAGTTTATTTCTATAAAGGTTAATAAAGTAATATCGTGCCTAATAAAAAAACATATTTTAAAAATATAATCACGAACATTGTAAATTTATCTTGAAAAATGCAAATAGACTGGAAGAAAGCATTGTAAATATGAATGTTACAAAGCGAATCAAATAAACTCAAATTTGGACCTGCAAAAAACACTGATACACTACCTGACTCAAAATATGCTATTTTCTCTCGCAATTAAATTTTGAATTTTATTATTATTATTATTATTATTATTTTGTGTGTGTGGGGGGGGGGGGGGGGGCTAGCTTTTCTCTTCAAATAGCATACGAAATAATAGACGAAGACACTTGTATTATAATATGTAGGGGTCAGGTATACGGGAAAATTCTTGGTTGTCTGGATCTGCGTTTTAAACTAGTTTTGAGAGGGAGAAACGAANTGGGGGGGGGGGGTTGTGGAGCCACTTCACGGCCGCTTTTAAAGAAATCTAAAAGATCCAGTGGCGTTTGGTGAGTAAAGTCCAAACTCATTGATGGAAGACAATATCAGCAACAACGCAAATAAAGATCATCTACTCAGTCCTTCTTATCTCTGGTATGGACCATTGGAAAGATAATGGCTATTCTTTTCTCAAAACAAAGGTTATCCGATCCGTCAAGTCATAATTTGGACGGCCTGTTCCACCTACGGCTGCACGACTTGTTAGAATTCTGACTGCTGTCCGACTCAAATTGTATTTTTCTTTGGCACTCTTTTGTCTTGTTGTCTAGATGCTGAGCAAAAGCAAGTTTTAACTTAATTAATATTGTTTTTTATCTCTCTTTGTATATTTTGTCTTCCTCTCACCATTTTAAATATTTTTTTCATTGTGATGTTCACTCCGTTTCCTCCTCCATACGAGCAGTTGCAGTAGTTGTTTTTAAACGTTCCTTTCGCTTTTTGCTGTTTTCGGACAGATATATTCTTTTTTATATAGTCACATTTCTGATAGAATAATTAACCTCTGACTGAAATGCCAGGATCAACAAAACTCTTTGCATGCAATGATAAAATGAACAATCGAATTGAAGTTAATTGACCTGTTTTGGCTGTCACCTGTCAATCATCTGGTTAAAAATCAAGGGATGGTGTCAATGAGTGCAAACACCTGCTGGTAGGGCAATCTACCATTAGACGTAAAATTATACCACTGAAAGGAGTAATTAATTAGTTATAGGTTAGCTGCCATGTAAATAGAAAACTGTTTTATTTGCTTTCTTCCATTTATTTTGCATGCATATCCAACGCCTGTTTATCAAAAGCAGCGTTCGCCACCTGTTCTGCGACCACGCTCAGTATTCCGCGTTTCCTGGGAGCTGAACAATTAACTCGGTCTGCAATATTTTTGGGGAGAGACAGGTGAAATATAAGTAATTTTTGCGTCGTAATTTCTGCGAAGGTAAACATTGTGAAACTGATGACTTTGGTTAATTTTGATGTAAGTTTGTAATATACTCTGCTTTATAAAGTTCCTGTGCATACCAAGCAGTCGCTAGTAACTTACATATCTTTCTCGTCTGTCTTCCCATAAAAAGTTCCACACTAAGAAAATTCAATAATCGTATGGCAGACCTGTATACCTGTTTATGTAGCAGTTTTGTGGCTCTGGGGTGAATACGTGATACCGGTTGTTAGGTTATTTATGATTATATAATTAATAAACATCATCCGTCAAATCGAGTCGATTAAATGTTTCCCAATTTTTGAGCAAAAAGGAATATAACGTTTTGAATAATGAAACAAGGCAGCAAAGCTGTCAAATGTACAGACAAATAGCAGGATATAACAAAATAGGCTACTGTCAATTCTGATGCAAAAGTACATTATGTTAAACTGCAAATTCAACATCAAATTCTAATTATGCTCAACAGGTAATACCAATGTAAATAAAATGTGTAACAAACATAAGGCTTCAGGCCCATGGGAGTTCAAGTTCACCCTTTGAAAATGTAAAACTTCCAGAAAAAGAAGTCAATTAGACTGCTTTTCCAACTCAGGCTGCATTTAAGTCCTGTATTTCTTTTTTGAAAGTTTGGCAATCATAAGTAACATGGTTTTCCCATAATGGTCATCATGGCAGCAGCACCCAAAATTGTGTTTTCTTCTATTCTGATGCAATATTACATAATGGTTACCAGCATAATGACAATCAATTTTTAATAATAAAATATACGTATCATGGATTTTCAGAAAATGTGACAAGCATGGGTCTTCAAGCCTGTGGAACTTCAAAGTCACACCTTGAAAATGCCAATATGTGAAAAATTAAAATTCCACAAAAAAACTGTTTAACTGGTAGATTGCATTGCCTACTGAAGCTATATTTTAATCCAATGTTTCTTTCCTGTAAGTTTGAGAACAGTAAGTGACATGGTTTTTCTTAAATGGTCATCATGGGAGCAGTGCCCAAAACAGGTTTTTTTCAAATTTTGATGCAATATAACATAATGTTTAACAGCATAATGACCATCAATTTTTAATAATAAAATATTAGTAACATGGATATTCAGAAAATGTGACTAGCAAAGGTCTTCAGGCCCATGGAACTTCAAAGTCACAACTTGAAAATGCCAAAATGTAAACAAGACAACACTGTT